CGCTTTGAAGGATGTAGCTTTTTTGTTATCCTAAACATGTTTTCAGTTTGTAAACATCCCCTTCACTTCTATTACTCACGAGTATCGTCTCGACTGGCATATTCTGTGCCAAAGTCATTAACGTTTTTTGTTAACAAAGACAGTAGAGACTATCAGGGCAAGCCTGCTCTATTTCACTGTCAGTGCTGTTAGAACGCTTCATAAAAACTGCTCATTCGAAAAATATGCTGTCGCTGATTTCCGAAATTCATGAAATTTTGCTCGGTTAAATGAAGCATTACCGCATTACCTGGTTCACAGCAACTAGAGCAGCCACACTCGTATCACGGCCATTTTTGATCGCATATTTTTGTATCCTGAGTATACCGTTCTTTTTTGGCGATCGCCCTGATGCGCTGCCATTGCGCAGCACAGTTGTTCGACTACCACGTCTCAAATCTACCGTACTGGTATGCTGCAGTTTATATCTACCGTAACATGTTTTTAGCACATTTCTCACCTGAAACGTATACAAAATTTTAGCTAAAATACTTGAGAAACTGTGAAAATGTTAACGAAGGAATTGAAAATCACAGACACTCATGTTTGGCTTACTTGTTATCGTCTTCTACGATAGATTGCCGTGCACTTACTTGCACTTACTTTACCGCAACCCGTTCCAGAATTCAACGAATCACCCTAATCGTACAATAACTTACCGCATTCTACGCTTGTTTGACATTGTTTTACTGTCACTTGGTTTTTTTGCAGAAAACAAAAACTCACTTCCTTGTTTGTGAAGCAGTAAATGATAGCAATCATAAACCCTTGATACATATAAGTGAATGAAGCGCAATAAGTCCAAATTGCAAAATACTAAATATTTAACCATTATCATTCTTTAGCAGAACAGCTGCAACCGCAAACGAAGAAAAAATTATGTGCTTCGCTTTCAAATGACGCGGGAAAATTCGCGCTTAACTTTTTATGTGCTGCATAATCATTAATAAGCCACTGCTGAGGTGAGCTAATCAGCAAAATGCCTATGTCAAGTTATATGGAGACTGTGAGCCCAAAATAAAGTTCAATAGAAAGTTTCGTATCACATTGGTGGTGAGAAGGAGGGTGACCGTGAAATTAATTTAGTGTAAATGTTTCCGGCTGCTGAATTCCGGGATATTTAAGCCGTCGATCTGGAAATTTGAGATGTGCTCGTAGCCAACATTAGCTATATCAGCTTTATTTCTCCTTAATACATATCTTCGTTTTACATTTAACTCCCTCTCCTCCCCCATCTTTTACAGTACGGACAAATTACTGGTATGAAAATCTTTTTTTTTTTTTTGAACTGTTCAAAATTTACTAACACACGTTCTTCCTTCACTAGGATTTCAGAACAACTATCCACTTTTTTAAAAGGAAGCCTTC